CGGCCCATTCGGAGCCCTGGCCTGTAATGATCTGCCGGGAAGGGGAGGAGTGTAGATATCTATTCCAGAGACTTCAACATTTCTTTTAAATCGTGTTTCACAAAATGATCTTACCTAACATAATATCTCGAAAATTAAGTGATGCATAATGTACAGTACATGTATCCAAATTAGGATCATTTATATTGTTGGCCGTTATTATAGGTGATTGTAACCATGTAAGTGATGATAAATCATCACGATTTAATACATTAACATGAGCATTATCTGTTTCAATCCATGCTGAATCTATGCATAAGAAAAAAAAACGAAAGAATAATTTACATAATCATTTTTCTATTTAATATTGTATACTATTCGATGTTTGTAAATGTTGATGAATATATGATCCCCATACACCATTTTGATAGACATTTGTTGCTAAATCTCTTGTTTTTAATGTTTTTAATACGTTTTCATTGAGAATATATTCAGAATCTTGAATATGAATACATCTATAAATAAATAAAAATTTTATTATTCATTAATTAACAAATAAATCATCTTACCGAAGTGATTGTCCACCTGGTTCACGTCTTAAACAATTAAAAAATCCAATAATACCATTATCTATTTGATTAGATATAAGCCAAATACGTTGTAATGAAGAATTCGATAATAATGTTTTAATTTGATCAATCGATTGAAAATTCTTTTCATCTATATTAACAATAGTATCTGTAAGAGTTTCAGTCGATAATTTTTTCCATAATTGATAATTCTTTCTTGTTACTATTTGAATAAAATTATTAGTTTGTAACTGTTCTCTGGGTATGTCAATATCTGATGAAAAAAGTATAAAACCATTTAATTTACATACAGAAAATAATTTTTCCCAATCATATGTATTAGTTTCAGTTTTATTAACGATAACTAAATCAACTGTTGTTGTTGTTGTTGTTACTGAAGATAAATTTTCAATTAAATTAATTTTTTTATTTATTTCATCAATTGATAATGATGTAACAAGTACATATTCAAGTGATTTAATAGATGGTTGTTGTGAATAAAAATTAAAAATTTCTTCACTTAATTTTTCATTTCCAATTTGACATAAAGATAATGTTGTTGTTAAAGTATTTTCAAGTATTGAATTAAAGACATATTTCAAGTTCATTAGTAATATTTATATTATCAAATGGTACAAACAAATATGATTCAAGTATTGTATTTTGTTGTTTATGTTTCTTTGATGTAGCTGTACAATGTAAACCAAATAATTCAATTCCACCTGAAAAACAAAGACTATTCCAATAATCAACATAAACTGAACATGTTGATGTTAATGATGATATGGATTCTAAATGATATTTAGGATCAATACGTAATGAATCAATACGTGTTGGTAATTGTAAACCTTGAGATGTTATAAGATGTACTTGTAACATTGTATCAAGATATGATATCCATTCATTATTCCATATTAATTCTCCATATGTTCCATCAATATTTATTTGATTAATACCACGAAATAAACCAGAATATTCATAACCACGAAGATTAAAATCTCGATAAATTTCATTTGTTTGTAAATTTTTTTCTGTATTATTTAATTTTATTTGTTTATGAAATTTTTGCATTGTTAATTGTTCGCTTAATGATATGCGACCAGTAACAATAATAGTATTATTTTCAGTTATTTCAAATGTACCATTTGTTGGTAAAATATTAACATAAAAAATTATTTTATTTGTTAATAAACATATTGTTGCACGATGTATTTGAATTTGTTCAAATAAAACTGATATTTGACGATAATCTTCATAATTATGTAATTTAGCAAATGTTTTCCATACTAAAACAAGATAACTAGTTCCAGGAAATAAACAACGACCATCAATTTGATGACCAATTACAAATGAATATTCACTATCATCATTAAGATCTATTTCATGTTTAGCTTGTTGTGTTGAACCTAATGATTGTGTAAACATTTCAAATGTTGGAACTTTCCATTGTTGAGAATGATCCCATTGAGCAGCAATTAAAGATATAAACGGAACATTAATTGGTACTGGATATTGAATTGATTCATAATTTGACATAATATTTAAATTAACACCTTCATTATAGAGTTTACCTAAATAAAGTTCAATCTTAAATTAGTGAATGTAAATATATTTAACATAATGATTCAGATATTCATGAAAAGTAATGTTGGAAACGTATTTGTACTGATCTCTGGTATTTCTTTTAACTTTAATCTTATTAGCAATATGCAAATGTATATTTACACTATTGTAAATACTCATATGTTCATTTAAATAAAAGCTGTTAACGAAATTCCTGAGATTAAAATGTGAAAAACGATGTAGCTGCTCTTATTAATCGCAGGAAAATTGTTTTAATGTATCTATTTTGGGACACATTTCTTCAGGATCCTTTTACTTAATCCTTCAAAAATGTAATAAGGAAGTAGTTCATGTAAATCCTTCATCGCAATAGAAGCCTCCGGGACTTCTAAAATGTTCAAGTATTCAAAAATTTTAGGAGAGAGCTTCTAATACGATTTGAGTGTAGTATTGCTCAAGAGAAGGCGCATGCCCACATCCATACCATACCATGATATTACGAGCAGAAGAAATATGAATTTGTTAATATGTTATGATGTTCAAATATCTTTTCTCGGGCAAAGTAGCTGTTACAGAATACATAGTGACCATAATCTCATATGTCAATGGAAATCGAAAATGATTTCTAAAGATTATTCTTAATAATGAGTATTCCACGTCTGAAGATACATTTTTTGAACGTAGACAGCATCTGACCAAGACTAATTTAATAGCATCTGTGAAGCTTTTCTTAAAAAAACTGAAGTTGTCTGGACACAATAGAAGCTTTGACACTTGTAAGATGCCTTTTACATCCATCATTCTAGAGGAGGTTTCTATTTCAGGAAGTGGCTTATCACTAACGAGATGTTAGTGATATACGCAAGGATTGCAGGGTCTATGGGGTCCAAATCTTTACTCCTATACTTTAACATTCCTTTCAGATCATAAGGTAAAAGCTATTCCTCATTATAATTTGTGAACACTTTCAAAAAACTAATTTTCGATAATTAGGAAATTTTCTTTTTTTTTTACCTAAATTCGAATAAAAATATGTAATATGATCATGTGTACCACGTTTCATTAAATTTATATGCACACAATCAGTACTTAATGATCGTTTAAGAATAGCTAAAAGCAAACAATGTGGTGCTAATTCAATAACAATAGCATTTGATGGAATATATTGTAATGCTTCTTGAAATAAAACTGGACTACATAAATTATTAACATGATAATCTGGTGATGATGTTAATGCTAATGATGTATTCCATTGATTTTCTGGTACACTTGATGAAATCCATCTTGATGAACGTTGTTTAGGTGGATTAATAATAACATTTTCTAAACATTTTTTTAATAATGGTGCTATTTCCATCATATAATGTGAATGAAAAGCAACTTGTTTAGCAAAAATT